ATTATCCGAAATGATACGTGGGAAATCGTACCACGTCCTACCGACCGTCACATCATCGGAAGTCGAATAGTACTGAGAAACAAGTTTCGACCAGATGGTTCCATAGAGAGGAGGAAAGCACGCATCGTGGCTCAGGGATTTTCTCAGCGCCCAGGGGTACATTTTAGCCAGACGTTCACTCCTGTGGCTAGGATAAGTTCCATACGGCTGATGGTTGCCGTGGCCGCTCATTTCGGAATGAACATACAACAATTAGACGTAACGACGGCGTATCTAAATGGTACTATCAACGAGGAAATATTTATGTTCCCACCTAAGATGTTACATAAAGCTCTGGAATCTATCATCGAATCGGAGCCAAGCAACAGCCCAGTCGGCATCAAGGCGAGACAGATGCTCAACGAATTGCAGTCCGGCGAGAAGGTCTGTTTGCTGAAAAGATCCTTGTACGGCCTTCGACAGGCAGGTAAATGCTGGTACGACACGCTGGATCAGACTCTAAAGAAACTCGGAGCAACCCCCTGTCACGGTGATCCATGCGTGTACTACATCGGACAAGGAAAGAACTTGCTGTTAATCGCCATCTATGTCGACGACATATTAATCGCCTCGCGTGACTCTAACGCCATCAGTAGGATGAAGGAGAGCTTGGCACAAGAGTTCGAATTCAAGGACCTTGGAAACGTTAATTGCTGTCTCGGAGTCCAGTTTATACGAGATGGCGGAAAAATCATCATGCACCAGAAGGGGTACATCGAAGATGTCTTAAGACGCTTCGGAATGACTGAGTCGAAGCCCGTCCGAACCCCAATGGATCCCAGCGTGAAGTTGGCGATGCCCGAGGATGCCTCTGACCCCAGTGTCCAGGCGCTGCCATATCGCGAGTTGGTTGGTGCCCTTACATATCTGGCGGTTGCTACAAGGCCGGACATCGCTTATGCAATCAGCTCGTTGGGCCAGTTCAGCAATTCTTACGGAAGCATTCACTGGACTGCTGCCAAACGCGTATTGCGTTATTTGAGAGGTACGGCTGACCTAGGATTAACTTTCGAGGCGGATACCGACCCACTTAAAGGATTCGTCGACGCAGACTGGGGGAATTGTCCAATTGATAGGCGTTCCTTCACTGGTTACTCATTTATCTTGAGCAAGTGCGCTGTGTCGTGGGAAGCCAGGAAGCAGATGACTGTGGCGCTTTCTTCGACCGAAGCGTAGTACATGGGCCTCTCCGAGGCCGCAAAAGAAGCAATTCACTGGCGTAGCTTCTTGATGGAGCTGGGCTTACGTGATCTGGCGGACATCGTTATCTTCAGCGACAGTTTGGGCGCTAAGAAGCTTGCGGAAAACCCCGTTTTTCACTCAAGAAGCAAGCATATCGACCTGAGACACCATTTCGTCCAATTCGATGCCTTGCTCGCGGGACAGTTTCGCATTGAGCACATCCCAACAGAGGATATGGTTGCAGACGTATTGACTAAGGGCCTGCCTGGTCCCAAGCATTTGAAATGTTTCAGATCAATCGGACTGGCTCCCTGTGCGGCTATCAACTAGACTAGAGTGCGTTTCGAGGGGGAGTGTTGGAGAGTCTACAACTCTACTTTCCTGTGGCGACACGCACTTCCGGCAGTACATGCGATACCACCCTGGCGCGAGGTTCCTATTGGGCGAACCGCCCGCGCCGCCCATCTTATTATTTATATACTCACTGTCGCTACTCTGTTCAACGTGCATTCTGTGTACGACTCGATCTGAGTCTTCCGTTTAATAAACGACTGGAGCGTGTATTCACACTATTACTGCGCATTTTATCACGATCCTCCTCCGACCATCGCAACATAATATGTCCATATCATTAAGATAAATAATCTTTTTGTTATGAGGTCCAGTAGATGTCTCAATTGTGAGACGGTCACCAAAAAATTTTGATATTATTTTTTCAAGATATTCACTCCGATAAAGCGAAAAATCTTCAGTGCGATCCTTGCCGGCTGCAAACTCCAACAACAAAGCTTTATACCGGGATAATAGTTGCGTGACGTACATTACTTTATGGTTGTTGATGATCTCTTGCTCTATAAATGTTGCAAGAGAGTTAAACGCTAACTTGTGTATCTCTCGGTCTTCATGCCAATTGGAATAAGCGTGTTCTTCAGTTTGGCGTTTCATTCGTACTTGATATGCTGAGAAACAAATTGGATGATACGCGACAATTTGATTCACAAGTTTATTAAGTACCTCAGAATCATCCAATGTTGACGCAATTTTTTTAAGCTGGGTAACAGTTGCTTCGGACTTCGGAAATATTACGTTAACCCTTCGCTGACCAATTTTCTTTTGTGTACAATTGCAAAATAAGCAAGCTACTTCTTTATTCGTTGTGGTACACGATAGCCGCGATGAGGAAGCTTCAGCAGATGCGGCATCAACACCGGGCTCCAAGCGTGATGAGGCCCCACCTAATATTACTGAATCACTCAGTGCTGTTTGGTCAGGTGTCATTGATAGGGAATCAAGAGACACGGTAGTGTCTCGCGCCAAGTACACGCGGAGCGAGACCGACCGTGATTCTTTTACGCGACGCGACGGGTTGCGAGTACCCGAGATGTTGAGATCTCGATAACGAGTGAACGGATCAAGTTCTAAGTAGGCTTGATCGATAGCTTGGGGTCCAGTTAGGGGGGGGGTTTCTCTTATAATATTCCGCTACGTGCCCTACGAGCGGAGATATTGCGACGCAAAGTCCAAATGTGAAAATTTATTTTTAAAATCAAGAGACACGGTAGTGTCTCGCGCCAAGTACATGGTGGAAGTAATAAGGTGTGCTCGTATTGCGGACACATTTTCGTCTGTTCTGCGCATCGTGACAAAAATCGTCCATTTTGAACTAATACTAACAGATTCTTGTGTCGGTGTGTTTCCGTGAGTTAGTACACAGTCAAAAGTGCAAAATTCGTAAATAATGTCGTCGTGTTCAATAAAAAATTGTAAAAACAACACGCGAAACGCAAAAAACCGAAACATTACTTTCTTGGAATTTCCGAGGAAGACGGAAATGATAGAAAAGTGGAAAGTTTTCTGCTAAGAGAACATTAACCCTACTTCTGGTAAGTGTACAATATTATTGTATGAATTTTGTTTATGAATTTAAAAAATACTTGTGTAATTAATATGAATAAAAACGTGCTACATGCTTTGTAAAAATGTATAAGATATTTATTAATTTGCATATGTAAAATATATAAAAATTATGTAACGTTTTTTGCAGCTCGAGTTTGTTCAGAACATTTTCTACCTGGTCAATTCGAAGATAAGACATGGCTTAAAAATTTAGTAGGAAACTCGGGAAGAGTCTCAAAAAAACTACTTCCTGATGCGGTTCCAATGGCATCGATAGTAGATCATAGTGTCAACACAGAATTGAGTAAAATATCGAGTAAGTATATTGACAATATTTCAGGTCCTTACATATTATCCATAATCCTTGCTATAAACGTGTTTGTATTCCAAATCAATATTTTCCAATTCATTTGTAAGTCCAATACAATTTCTGAAATATTCGTAACTTTACATGTTACTAAATGTAACTTAAATTCTAAGTACACATTTGTGAATTAAAAATCATTTATAACATAAGTATTGAATTGTAATATGAATGATACGATTTTTAGGAACAGATGATACACAGAGAAATGTGACAGGCACTGATCATGGCACAATCGGGATCAGCCTTGCGAGTCGAATTTCGTACAGCTAGTTGCTGTCGCAAGCAACGATAAAAATTTGGCTTTATTACATTCTATGACAGTAAGAACATCGACTTGTACATTGTAATATGATGTGATTTACATTACAATTAATTAAAATAATAATATTTAATAAATAATATTTTCACAAACTGTAATGGTATGTCATTTTATATTAATTAATTTTACAATCTACTTTTTAGAGAATAAGAAGTGACAAAATTAGCGAAAAGCGATAAATAATCCATTTCTTAATATACAACAATTTTGCGACACCATTTTTCAAACTTTTAGTGCAAGATTTAACAAACAGTATGAATCGAAATTATTTTACCATTGACATGCCGTGTAATTCATTTCTTCTTTCTATATTTCTTAATTTTCTATTGTAATTTTAAAAAATAATTAGATTTAATGGCGATTCAAGTGACAATTACATTTTTTACTTTCATAACGACATTTAAACATAGTCTAAATAATCACACAATTTGAATCTCCTACCAAAATTAAAAAAACATGGCGGACTTTTGTCACGTTTTGTGATTGGATATATTGCAAGAAACGTGCGCATAAGCACACCTTATTACTTCCACCATGGCCAAGTACACGCGGAGCGAGACCGACCGTGACTCTTTTACGCGACGCGACGGGTTGCGAGTACCCGAGATGTTGAGATCTCGATAACGAGTGAACGGATCAAGTTCTAAGTAGGCTTGATCGATAGCTTGGGTTTGAATTATATAATAAGAGTGTTTTTATTTTTCCGCTACGTGTCCTACGAGCAGAGATATTACGATGCAAAGTCCGAAATGTGAAAATTTATTTTTAAGATACTACTTCTAAAGCCCGGTGTCCACGATGCAAGAACTGTGTCCAAGTTTCGGTTTAAGCCAATGAAACTGCTACTTTTCTGTAAGAGCTGCAAGTTGATTGGCTTAAACCGAAACTTGGACACGTTCTTGCATCGTGGACACCGGGCTTAACGCCGACGTCTTATATGATGACGTCATAATCAGAAACGTCACTTTCACTTTTTCGACACTGGCGGCTAGCGGCGTTAGTATCGCAGTGCAGTGCAGTGTAGACAGTGCGTTCGTTTAGCGCGCTGTCAGTCAGTTCCTATTCATCAGTTAACCTATCTCGAGAGCACTCGAGAGACACGGTAAGTACGAAGACTACGAAGTACGCGCGGAGCGAGACCGACCGTGACTCTTTACGCGACGCGACGATTAATTACTATTAGGGTGCAGTCCCATGGAGCGTATTGCGCGTATCGCGGATTGCGCGTATCGAGAATCTGACCAATCACAGACGTTCCGCTATTTTCGATACGCTGCCGTTCCGCCGAATCCATTATTGTAGCGTAATATGCGTCGAATAGAGACAAAACAGAAGACACTGATTTCGGAAGTTTTTGTTGCAAATGATGATGAACAACGAAGGAGATAAAAGTCCTGTAAGTATCTAATTAGCAGTTTTTAATATTATTGTAATATTTGTAATTGCTTGTATTTACATTGTGCTTTTTAATAATATTTTGAGGTTAATTTAAAATTTGATGAAACATTTCTCTAGTTTGCATTGATTATTTCAGTTTAATATAAATAGGAATATATTTCATTATGAATAACAAATTATTTATGTTTATTATTCTTTTTACTTTTTACAGCCAATAAAATGTGGATACTGTGGGTGGCTACTTGACGGGCTACTTGATGGGTTTGTAGATGCTAGCTTGCTACAACATAATTGTTTGAAACATTATAATGAGGAAAAACATCTTTTACACATTGATGACAACAATGTTGCAACTATTAGTAATTATCTAAAAATAATAATTATAACAATCAAATTTTATGATAAATGCACACTGGTTTATATACATATATATATATATATTCATATATATACATATTTATACGTATTTTATGTTTACAGTTGAGAAAGATCAATCGACAAGCATTCAAACAACTAATACAAGTGAATATAATGAGGCGCTTGTTAATGCTGTATACTCTAGATCTGCATTATATGACCACCGTATACCTCTTAAAGACAGAACAAGTTTAAAAAAGAAGGCATTATGGAAAGAAGTTGGAAATTTAATGGGAGGTACGTTTTTACAAGTTACATAATATAATAAAATGTATATAATAAAATATTTTAACTAATACTGCAATAAGTATTATATGTTTTCTCTTTTAAAAACTAATTCCAAATTTTGATTTTTTTAATATTAAAGAAAACGAAAATCTAGAATTTGTTCAAAAACGCTGGAAACAACTTCGCGACAGCTATGTTAGAGCGAAGAAAAAAGAAAACGCATACATACCGAGTGGATCTTCTGCAAGTATAAAAAATGATAAGATGACTTTTACTTTGTACAACCAGATGAAATTCCTAGATGACATAACAGGAAAATCACCGTAAGTATTTTTTGTAAAATTAAAGAAAATTTATTACAATTATAAATTAATTTATTTAATACTACAGCACAGTCACTAGTTTACCGGCACTACCGGCAGACATCGATGAATGTCCAATACAATCGATAACCAATACTGCTGAAAAGGTTCCATTACCTCAAAGTTCATCAGATTCTATCTCGTTAGATAGCTGGGCCAACACATTTGATCCAGCAACTAATAATTCTTCCTCATTTAAGTCGCAGTCATCAAAGAAAAGAAGTAAATTTTCATTATTTTTCCAGTATTTCTTTAATATAATTCCAATCTTTAATTTGTAAAAAAGACATTGTTTTTACATTTCAGAAATAAAAGAACATGATGATAGCTCAGATATTGAAATAAAAAAAGTAATCTTATCAAACATTGAAGAGTCGAAAAAGACGCCTGATGCTGTTGACGGTTTTCTCCTCCAAATAGGAAGTCGACTACGAGCATTGCCACCACGGGATAGGGCACAATTTGAGATAAAAATATTAACCGACATTTTTAATTTAGAAAGTTCTTTATCACTTCACTAACTTGTGCTTTTCATGTTATATTAATTATATAAGCTTTAAATATATGCTAAACATACGATATATAAAAGTACGATATATATAAAGTTATATATTTTTAATACATATTATATAAAGTTATATATTTTTAAAATAATAAAGTTTTATAAAGTTAAAAATTATTCTCTATAGCTCTTTCCCATTGATAAGGTAATGCACCATTTCCATTAAAGAATGCAGTATACGCGTTTCGAACTTCGATTCCACTTTGAGATGCCCTTCCTCGATGAATTGGTAATGAGCAAAGCCCTCCGGAATTCGTTGAATGATCCTCGTCATTACTAATATGCATATATCTATCTTGTAACTGCATTTGTTCTCCATTATTAATAATAAAATTATGCAATACTATTGTTGCTTGCACAATTTTCTTTACGTTAGCAACGCTTGATATTATTGGCTTTCTATAAATTCTCCATCTTTGTGCTAATATCCCAAAAGCATTTTCTACTACTCTTCTTGCTCGACTGAGTCTGTAGTTAAATACTTTTTGTGGTAGATTTAGCCTTCCACTCCGTGGATATGGTCTCATCATGAAGTTTGTTAAGGGGAAGGCCTCATCTGCTAGCAGCACATAAGGGAGAACTGGTCCATCAATCTGAACCATGGTGGAAGAATACATGGTGTGCGCAAAACTCGTAAACCACGCCTCTTTTCAGCCTTTGGGGCACGAAAAAACACAGGGCAGGCAACTGCGAAAAACAAAATGTTTAGCTTTGAAAATTTGGTACGATTGGTGTCTAAACATCCTTCTCGCACTCCCTGGTTATTATCTTCTATCTTACTTGATCTTACTTTACTTCTGTATATGTCATTGTTGACATTCTCTGTCGAAACGTGAGCGTCGTGAAACGTGAAAAATCGTTGAAAATGGTGCGCTGCATAGTGAAAAACTGTGAAAATAATTGCAGAACATGCACACCGGAGCAAGCCAATTTTCATAAATTACCGGATAACAAAATAATTCGTGAAGGATGGTTTCGGAGCATTGGAGAGGTTATATTGCCTTCGAACATCGTTAACGGTATGCCTCTGCATGATAAAATTTAAATTTGTTTATTTTGATATACTGTATCATGAAGTAACAAAAACTATATTGTTTGAAAGATCAGAAAAGTTTTGTAATGTATCTCTTTTATCTGTTATTTAAGCACGAATTTGCTCCGTACACTTTACTCCGGAATCTTTCATTCAATCGAAGAGAAAAAGAGGAGAAAATATTTTTAAAAGACGACTTTTGCCAACTGCTGTACCAACGTTGCATCTGGTAACAACAAACGAACAGTAAGTTGGATGTGTAATTTATTAAACAAAGCAAATATTGACGCTCCCTTTTTTAAAAATAATTATTAAGAATAATAAAGTTAACATAAACTATTAATATTCATACGCTTATGACAAGATGACTATGGATGTTGCTCCAAGAACCATGTGACAATGAAACTACATTTATATTTTCTTTATTAGGGCACATGACAAAGGCAATGTAAATTGTAACATTGTTAAGCGGACCTTTAATTTGGTTTGTCCATCAACGTCACCTCTAGAAGCAATAAATGCTGCAAGTCTGTTGCCTGTGCCAGGCCCATCAAAGGAGAGAATCTCATCTGTTGAGCCGGAACTTTCATCTTTGCTACGTTCATCAACACCCGTATCAAGGATGATGACAGAACCTTTGCTTGATTTAGGTCTGCTGGATAAGGCAGATATGACAGGTCAACATGAAACTCCAACAACGTCAGTGTCTTGTCGGTATGTATTACACTACAAGTACTTAATTAGCGCTACTAATAATAATATTCTCATAAATAAATATTTTAGTACCCACAAACCACTACAGATATCAATAGAGCCATAAAAAAAACAGTTTTCAGATCTTTGGTCATACCACGGGCAATAAAAAGTTTATAAAAACCATTATCAGTGATAAAGTCTCATAAAGTACAGATTCTTATGGAGGATTCACATTACGTCCGATGTTCGACGTACGACGATCCGACATCCAATAACAGAATTTATTATTAGAGACAAAAATTTCCTATTGGATGTCGGATCGTCGTACGTCGAACATCGGACGCAGTGTGAATCCTCCATTATCAAACAAACCTGCCGTTGAGAACGTTTTGTTACTCGTGGTAAGACCGAAGGCCTGAAAACTGTTTTTACTACCGACTGCAGTTTTCATGTGCTGAAAAATACAAATAGAATTTTCAAATCTGCACTCATTACTACGAATAACAAACTTTATTCTTAAAAGACGTATAAGACTTTTCTTTGCCAGCAAATAAAAAAAAGTTCAAATAATAAATACTTCCTTCTTGACTTTATCTGGCATTTATTAAAAATCAATTACAAACGACACAACGTTTCGACTAGGCGCTTCCTAGTTATTCTCAAGTGTACCTATCAATAATTACAAATATTTAACTAGGAAGTGCCTAGTCGTAACGTTGTGTCGTTTGTAATTAATTTTAAATAAATGCCAGATAAAGTTAAAAAGGAAGTATTTATTATTTATACTTTATTCTTTTTATGTCTTTTCAGAAATCCTTGGCTGGAACCAAATGGCAGGGTCAACCGTACACCAGAAGGGCCTTTTGATTCGTTGTGCAACGTACGGAATTCTACGTTCCCAACAAGGTTTGTAATACTCACTTTGAAGATATATCAATTCGGGTTTTTTGACAAATGTCTATTGGTTTCAATAAAAAATTATTTTTTGTTGAATTATTCAATCTACCATGAAATGTATGACAATTAAGAAATCTCTCATCGCCCACATAGTTGTCTCACAAACATATTTAACAAGTTGTGAGAAAAATGTTAAGTCAATCGGTTCAACCCTTTCATCTCAAGAACAGTGTACCTTGTCAATGATTATGAATATACACAAATTGGTATATCTTCGGATTGATTGTTTATTTTTTTCTTACATTTCGTGGAATTACATTTGCAGACAACATTTGTATAGTAGATAACAAATATCTATAATTGATTTTGAGATTTGAGATCTATTGTCTTTTTGCTATGACTTTTTCCGACTAACTAAGTTTTCGAGTTACTTTACTTATGCATTTCTTTTGTAGGTGTGAAAGAAAGAAAGCTGTATTACATAGGCGCAGTGAACTTTCAGCCGTTCGTTAAAAACTCCGGATACGATTCAAATTGGGTACCTGAGGAAGTGCTACAATGCCTCGTTAGAACTCGCACATACATCAGAGTGAACGAAATTAATAAAAGAGAAAATATAAGAAAGGAAGAAAAAAGAAAGACAAAAAAGTTAAAAAAAAATGAATGTTTTTCCTGCAAAAAGAAAGCGCAAATAAGCGCAATCTCGTCTACTCGAGAAAAAACAATGTACAATATATATAACGTTTGTAATTTTGTATTAATTATGTAAATATACTTGACAGAATGAAATAATGTATATAAATATGTGTACCTAAAAGTAAAATTTATAGTAATATTGTAATAAATTACATTTTTTTTTCATACAACTCTCACTTTCTTAATTTCTAATGTTTCGAAACTTATGTTAGTATGCAAGAAGAAAAAGTTGTTTCAAGAAATGTTTCAAAATAATACCACACTGTCGAGAAAGGATTGAAAAACATAAAAACACTTACACTTACACTTATTAATTTTATTCGTGCAATTTTATTTTTAATATTGATATTTTTTAAATATTTTTTTTTATATTAAAGTATTTATTAAGATGTAAAAGAAACAATAAAGATAACAAATAGTAAGAAGGAATACATTCAGGATTTAGAGGTTTCCATTTATACAACAAACTGTCTACTTTTACATATATAATTTCACACGATTAACGAATTATCAATTAATGTCACATAATACACATACATATGTACATATGTAGTTGTATGTACATATGTTACAGTCTAGTCAGTCATAGTAAATTCTGCAATGTACCGCCACTTACATCCCTAGAATTCTAGGGATTTTTTTATGTTGGTAGACATATATTTTTTCGTGTCGCAATCAGAAAGAAACAATAGATTTTAGACAAAGAAAGAGTCGTTTTGCGCACACCATGTATTCTTCCACCATGATCTGAACTGACTTAGGATTTGGTACACTGATCTATATATAACTGGATAGTGAATAGGCCGAATTTTGTGAAGCAATATGAACGGCCGCCATGTTGGCCGCAGCGGGCACTTCGGGCGTCATCGGGAGCCGTCGTGAGCGTTCGTGAATCGCCAAGTTTGAAGTTGCACACAGGAGTGAAAATCGCTTAGTTGTGTTTTTACAGTTAATTTAGGGTGCGTTCCGTTTCACGCATGATGCGCATAATGCATCACTTATCTTTGTTTAATATTTAGTGAACAAGGATAAATTATGCATTATGCGCATCATGCATGAAACGGAACGCACTCTTATACATACAATTGTGTAAAATATAAATGCATTTATTGAAATAAATCGCAGATTTTCGAGTGGCTGCTTATTGTTCTGTAGGTTTAGATTTTTCAGCCAAGACTGCAGTTCTCGTGGCCTTTTCGTTGGCAATCTGAATGAAAAGACAAACTTTGTAATAGTTATTTTTGTTCACTCAATTTGTAATTTTCACGACATTACCTCATGCACGGATTAATTATAATATAGATAATGTATTTTATCTCTAAAAATCGTACGACGTGAAAATAAAACTACAAAAAGCAATAAATTATTCAACATAACCAATAATTTAATATCGAGTGATTGATTGCCATTGATTTATATATAATATATATAATAAATTAGATACTATAATATATACTTACCGGTGAAAAGACCTGGGCACATTTTCACCCTTGTCGCTTTTTCCACAATGTACGCAATTCTTTTTCATTTTTGACAACGAAAAAGTTACCCGATTACAAATTACTAACTTTAACAACATTAAGCGGTTTTAAATTTTTTATCTGTGTGCAACTTCAAACTCGGCGATTTACGAACGCTCACGACGGCTTCCGATGACGCCCGAAGTGCCCGCTGCGGCCAACATGGCGGCCGTTCATATTGCTTCATAAAATTTGGGGTGGGAGTAGGGTATTCACTATCCAGTTATAATATAGATCAGTGATTTGGTAGCTTTAATAAAGCGTTTTCAAAATAATTTCTAATAAGGCTGTTACAAAAAATTCCTCCATCACTCTGTCTGCCTTCGCCTCCGATATCGACAATAATAAAACGATATTTGGCATCGCTAATTGCTAGGAGATTGATACTGTGATTTCCTTTGTAGTTATAATATGTCGAACCGGAATTCGGTGGAGCCTGCAATAAAAAACATTTATGTGCAATATTAATGTAAAATATATAAGTTTGCAGTGTAAGTTTTAATTAGTTATAATTAGTTTTAATTTTAATTTTAATTACATGAGTTATTCATACGTCACCTGGAAGGTTACATGTTTTCCATCGATGGCTCCTATGCAGTTGGGATAATTCCAAAGCCGTTCAAAATCATCGGCAACATTTTGCCAGCTGCTTTCATCATTTTTTATAAAAACGGTATCTTTCAAATTATTCCAAATGACTTCGCAAGTCTCTGACACTATTTTAGAGACAGTATTATGTCCAATACGAAAGGCATACGATAATGATCGCGTACTATCTCCTGTTGCCAAGTACCTGATAGTTATATGCAATCTTGTT